CAGTGATCTTTGATGTTTATTGTAATTGTTTGGCGGCACCATGAACTGTGCCCATATAAGACGGCAAAAGTTATCAATAAACGTTGTGTGAGTTCTGACTGCTCTGCTGACCAGCCATTCCCCGGTCCCTCTCCCTCTCCTCGGGCCTCCCTATTCCCTGAGATGCAGCAATATTGAAATTAGGCCAGTTAACAAGCCTACAATGGCTTCAAAGTGTTCAAGTGAAAGGAAGTGTCGCATGTCTCTTAATTTAAATAAAAAGCTAGAAATGACTAGGCTCAGTGAGGAAGGCATGTTGAAAGCTGACATAGGCTGAAAGCTAGGCTTCCTGCACCAGGTAGCCAAGTTGCGAATGCAAAAGAAAAATTCTTGAAGGAAATTAAAAGTGCTACTCCAGTGAACCCAGGAATGATAAGAAAGCGAAACAGTCTTATTGCTGGTAAGGAGAAAGGGCGAGTGACCTGGATAGAAGATCAGCAACATGCCCTTAAGCCAAAGCTTCATCCAGAGCAAGGCCCCAACTCTCTTCAATTCTATGAAGGGTGAGGGAGGGGAAGAAGCTGCAGAAGAAAAGTCTGTAGCTAGCGGAGGTTGATCCGTGAGGCTTAAGAAAAGAAGCCGTCTCCATAGCATAAAGTGCAAGGTAAAGCAGCAAGAGCTGACATAAAAGCTGCCGCCAGCTTTCCAGAAGATCTAGCTCAGATACTGAGAATGGTGCTATGCTAAAGCAACAGATTTCAGTGTAGATGAAACAGCCTTCTATGGGAAGATGCCGCATAGGGCTTTCATAGCTGGAGAGAAGAGGTCAAAGCCTGGTTTAGAAGCTTCAAAGGATGGGCTGACTCTCTTGTTAGGGGCTCATGCAGCTGGTGACTTGAAGTCGAAGGCAATGCTCATTTACCATTCTGAAAATCCTAGGTCCCTCAAGAATTATGTTACATCGATCCTGCCTGCACTCTACGAAGGGGACAACAGAGCCCGGATGACAGCACATCTGTTTACAACATGGTTTGCTGAATGTTTTAAGCCCACTGTTGCGTCCTATTGCTCAAGAAGAAAAGATTCTTTTCAAGATATGACTGCTCATTGACAATGCACCTGGTCACCCAAGAGCTCTGATGGAGATGGACAACGAGATGAATGTTGTTTTCAAGCCGGCTAATACGACATCCATTCTGCAGCCCCTGGATCAAGGAGTAATTTTGACTTTCAGGTGTTATTATTTAAGATTATTTAATGCTATTTAATATGCTTATTTAATATTGAAGATTCTTTAATACTATCCAAATTATTTGGATCTGAGCAAAGTAAATTGAAAAGTGTCTGGAAAAGATTTGCTATTCCAGATGTCATTAAGAACATTCATGATTCATGTGAAAAGGTCAAAACATCAACATTCACAGGAGTTTGGAAGAAGCTGATTCCCAACCTCATGGATGACTGTGAGGGGTTCAGGACTTCATGGGAGCAAGTAGCTTCAGATGTGGTATTAACAGCAAGAGAGCTAGAATGAGAGGTGGAGCCCGAAGATGGGACTGAATGGCTACAATCTTGTGACAAAACTTCAACAGATGAGACATTGCTTCTTCTGGATGAGCAAAGAAAGTGGTTTCTTGAGACGGAATCTACTCCTGGTGAAGGTGCTGGGAAGATTGTTGAAAAGACAAGAAAGGATTTAGAAGAGTACAGAAATATTACATGGTTGATAAAGCAGTGGCAGGTTTGAGAGGACTGACTGCAATTTTGGAAGACGTTCTACTGTGGGTAACATACTATCAAACAGCATCCCATTCTACAGAGAAATCATTCATGAAAGGAAGAGCCGATCAGTGTGGCAAACTTCACTGTTGTCTTATTTTAAGAAATTACCCCAGCCACCCCAGCCTTCAGCACCCACCACCCTGATCAGTGGACAGCCATCAACATCGAGGCAAGACCCTCCACCAGCGAAAGATTATGACTTGCTGAAAGCTCAGGTAATGGTTAGCATTTTCCAGCAATAAAGTAATAAAGTACCTTTTTTTAAAGTTGGCTCCATGCCCAGAGTGGAGCCCAACACAGGGCTTGAACTCAAGACCCTGAGATCAACATCTGAGCTCAGATCAAGAGTCAGATGCTTAAGGGCACCTGGGTGGCTCGGCCGTTAAGCTTCTGCCTTCGGCTCAGGCCCTGATCCCAGGGTCCTACGGATTGAGCCCCGTATCGAGCCCTGCATCGAGCCCCGCATCGGGCCCCCTGCTCGGCAGGAAGCCTGCTTCTCCCTCTGCCACTCCCCCTGCTTGTGTTCCCTCTCTCGCTGGCCTCTCTCTGTGTCAAATAAGTAAAGTCTTAAAAAAAAAAAAAAAGAGTCAGGTGCTTAACCAACTGAACCACTCAGGCACCCCCAAAGTATCTTTTTTTAAATTTACTTTCTTAAAAAAAGATTTGATTTATTTATCTGAGAGAGAGTGAGCAAGCGCAAGCTGGGGAGGAGCAGAGGGAGAGGGACAAGCAGACTCTGCGCTGAGCCTGGAGCCCGATGTGGGCTCGACACAGGATTCAATCTCACGACCTGAGGTCACGACCTGACCCGAAATCAAGAGTCGGTGGCTTAACCGACTAAACCACCCAGGAGCCCACCCCAAAAGTATCTTTTAATTAAAGTACAACCATTGTTTTTTTTTAGATATAATGCTATTGCACACTTAATAGACTACAGTATAGTGTAAACTTAACTTTTATATGTACTAGGAAACGAACACATTCATTTGACTCGCTTTATTGTGGTATTCATTTCATTGTGGTGGTTTGGAACCAAACCTGCAATGTCTCCAAGGTATGCGTGTCTGAAGAATATACAGACCCTCAGGAAGCTTCACAAACTGAGCACATCCCCGTACCCAGCCCCTTGGTCCTGAAACCACCTTTCCAGCACCAAGAAGTGCCCCTGGTTCCCCCTTGCCAGTTATTCCCTCCCCAAAGGTAATAGTAGCCTGACCTCCCAACAGCATAGATTCATTTTGCTTATTCTTGAACTTTATATAAATGGAACAATGCTTAATATTTTCCAGTGGTTTGTAGTTTACAAGGGACCTGCATGTACATTAAGTTGGTAAGTCTTCACATAAGTATGGGGAGGGGAGGCAGGAATGACAAATCCCATTTTACAGAGGAGAAAACTGAGGGAAGGGAATCCGTCACAATCACACTGCTGGCAAGGGGAGACAGGATAAGTGGGTTCCGTTTTTGCATCTCCCTGGATCTCAGAATGTCTTTCCAGGCATTAGGCTACAATTCCCAGGAAGACGCTTGGTCAGGAATCTGAAGCTAGCCCCGGACTGGGCAGCTGATGGTGTGTTACCCAACCTCCAGGAGGGAGAGAGTGTCTGGGACAGAGAAGGTCTGGTCACCTTTAGGGCAGGGCCCAACCCCCCCCCCCCCGCTTCCTGTCTGCTGCACTCAACGTGCTTTGTGAATTTTGACAAGTGACCCTCCTCCGTATGTCCTTCCCTCCACATTAAAGAATTCAGAGTGCTATTGAATGGAAGGGGGGAGATTTATTTCCACAGAGCCCCCCGCCGCCTCTAGGTAGCCACACACACTGCCCAGGAAGGGACGGTCCCCATTGGAACCTGGCACTATGTGCCTAGATCTCCTCTCTCCTGTGTGCCCACAGTGATGTGAGCCAGCTCCGGAGCAGGGGCTGCTGTGAGCGGTTCCTACACTCCCTCCTCTCTTCCAGAATCCACCTGTCCCCTGCCAGTTCAACTCCCTTGTTCTCAATCCCATGGCCGATAGGCAAGATTCCCCCCCCCCATTCCTTCTTGCCCTATGAAGGCTTATACCTCCTTCAAAAAGCCCAGACTTCATCTCCACCCGGAGGGCTTTGTCTCTCCTGAAAATACACTCATCATGCCTCTTACACATTGGTTTCTCTCTCTGGACACAACACAAATATAAGTGATCACAAAGTCACACAAATGAAACACTTTCACAGCACACACAAGGTTTTCACCTCTCTTTCTCAAAAACTAGGCTACATCCACAGTGTCCCAAATCACAGCCATGCCCCCTTATGTGTGCTCACCAACACAAGCACCCGCAACATCACAACACCACAGGGATTTGGTCTCTGTTTGCAACAGGGATACAAAGTCTCTTTCCACCACAGGGCCATGCATGTGCAACAGGCCCATAACGCACAGGTCACACATCATACAAATACACAGACACACACCCTTGCACCTTCTTCCTCCTCCACTCTCTTACACAGCACCCAGCAGAGACAGTTTCTACCCTGGACACAGAAAACTCACGGGCACGGAGAGCCGTCGGTCCTTCCCTCTGCTTCCCTCTCACCGCCTTCTCTTGCCCCTCTCTCTTACACACACATCGACACACACACATACACACGCACACACGGAAGCTCCAAGTAACAAACCCCAAATATAGTCACTCTCTGTCCTTCCGTCACAAATAAACACTCAGGCACGCGGGTTCCATCCCTCCCCCTCTTATTCTGTCCTCCTCCCCACACTCCTCCCCTCCAGCGCGCGCGCGCACACGCACACACACGCGCACACACACACACACACACACACACACACACACACACCACAAAAACACACGCGCAGCTGCAGCGCCCTGGGTCACACTCCCGAGCAGGCGCCAGGCAGGAGACAAAGGTCGCCGAGGCTCCCGGCGCCGCGCACCAGACGCAGCTGAGCCGCTCCTCGGGCTCCGCCTGCCCCCGAAGCCGGGTTCGGCGAGGTCCCCACTCCGCACCCCGCAGACCGGGGCCCCGCCCGCTCCCGCTGCGCGGTCCGCACGCACCCGCGCTCCCTGCCCGGCGCGCCAGGGGTTAAGGAGGTGAAGGGGGCGGGGCCGAGGCCGGGTTCGGGGCGTGATTGGCTGCGCGGCCCGGCCCCCGCGCCCCGGCATTGGCCGCTCGGCGGGCCCGCCTTCCCAGGACCAGGCGCCGGAGCCGCGCTCGCCCGCGGGGAGCCGAGCGCGCGGCCGGGGCCAGCAAGCCGCGCCGTACCTAGAGCGCGGCTGGGAGCCGAGAGCCGGGATCGGGCCCGGGGAGCGGCGCGGTGCGGGAGCGGCGCGGTGCGGGAGCGGAGCGCGCGAGCTATGGTGAGTGCCGCCGCGCCCGGCCCCGTCTCTACGGCCCCGGCGGCCGCGCCGCGGTGGGACTCGGCCGGGCTCGCGGGGGGCTGGGCGCGGGTTGCGGCTCTCGCTCGGAAGGCGTGGAGTCGGGGGGCGCGCGGGCCAGGCTCGGCTGGCCGGGCGGCGCCGCCGCGGTTCCGTCGGAGGCCGCCGCGCCCAGCTTGGATCTGGGCAGCTGGCCCCGGCCGAGTTTGGAGGACTCGGGGTGGCCGATTCGGTTCGGGGACAGTTGGTGCAATTCTAGTCTGGGGCGTTCGGAAGTCCGAGCAGGGAGTGGAGACCCCTGGCATCCGGGCTGGGTCCGATGCTGGGGTCGGGCACAATTTCCGAGCGGCTGGATCCAGTTGGACCTGAATGTCCCGGGATGCCGAGGTCGGTCTGGGGCTGAGGCTGGGCTTGGGGCGTCGGGGGTGGCCGAGCCTAGCTCATTTTTGAGGGTTCCGTAGAGGTCGAGGCGCTCGGGGATTGCCTATCCCACTATGGCCCGAGGGAATGGAGAGTGGAGGCAGCTAGGTTGGCGGCTGTCAGAGACCAGGGAACACTTGGGGTCCCTGCTTTCAGTGATCCGCTCTCCTCAGCATCTCCCAGTAATGGGTCCTCAGAGGAGGGGGTTGCTGAGGGGGTTGGTCAGCAACACCAGGGAGAAGGGATTTGGCAAGGGGATTTCATGGGGGTGTCTGGAGCCCCAGGAAAGAAACCCTTTTGGTTGAGGCTGGGCTTGTTGGGGCTGTTTTAGGGCGAGGTGTGTTCTCTGAAGGAAAGCTTGGACCTTTCAATAATCTCTCTAGGGCTTGATGATCACTTCTGCATCATGGGGGTGGAAGCCACCTACTTCTCTTTGCTTTCCCCTGGACAGGCCCTTCTGATTCTCTCTCCTAGTCCTGTTCTGTGTCCTGTGAATTGAGTACAAGTCACCAGGTAGTGCCTGAGATGGGCATGTGCCAGTGATGATGGCTGCTTGTCCCAGGGATACAGCCACCTCCATTTCTCTGTGATGATGCTGTCAAGCCGGAAAGGGACCAGGCGGGGGCAAGATGGGACCCCTGTAGGTGTGAAGAGCCCCCCAGTGATGCCCCAGGACCAACCTCTGCTCTGCCCAGAACCGGAGTCCCCTTCTAACATCCCTTTTCCCTCCTCTCTCCTTTCCCCACCAACATCTGCCTCCCCCTCTGCCATTTGCCTGTCCAGAGTAAGTAATAATGAAATTGTGTCTTGGACCCAGCCTACCTCCTTGGTCAGGAATCTCTCCCCTGGAATGCTCTACCCGGGACAGTTCTGGTGGCAGGGAGCTCACACCCTGTGGCCTGGTCCTTGATTTAAGGTCTCCGCATACAAGTAATAAAAGGGGGTGAGACGTTGAGGTCATATCATTCACTATGCCTTCAAACCCACCCTGACCTAAGTTACTCAGAAAGAGAACTTTTTCCTCCTTAGAAACCACCAAAGCAGGAGAGAGGGCACCTTGCCTTGGAGATACTTTTCAGAGTCTTACAACCTGAGAAACCTTCCAGGCTTTAGTATCAAACAGATTCAGGTTCAAAGCCTGGCTCTCCCACTTTCCCGCAGGGACTTGGATCAAGTTGAACGCTCACCTCTGACCATCAGTTTCCTCATCTGTGAGAAGAGATGGAAGGTCTTGCTTGCAGGGTTGGTGTGGCAATTTGGTGAGATAACCCAGTGAGAGTGTTTGCTCCAATGCAGCTTTATTTCCTTTCTTTACATACTGAAGCTCAAATTGGGAAGTTTTGTGTGAATCTAACCTATTTGCTAGTTGGGAAGAAGAATTACAGGTTATCATGAAGGGAGAAGAAGGGGACAGTGATACTTAGAAAACCATTCCTTTGTTCATCATCCAATGAAGATTTTTTTTTAAAGATTTTATTTATTTATTTATTTGAGAGAGAGAGAATGAGAGAGATAGACAGCATGAGAGGGAAGAGGGTCAGAGGGAGAAGCAGACTCCCCGCCGAGCAGGGAGCCCGACGTGGGACTCGATCCCGGGACTCCAGGATCATGACCTGAGCCGAAGGCAGTCGCCCAACCAACTGAGCCACCCAGGCGCCCCATCCAATGAAGATTTATTGAACACTTACTATATACCCTATGCTAAGGACGAAAAACTGTCATCAACACAGTGTTAGGGGAGCTTCTGCCAGTTCATAAATGTCTGTAAGGATCCTCAGGCCAGATGGCATATCTTTGGAAGAGGCAGAAATATCATGGCGAGGAGTTCCTCCTGGCTGGAGAGATGAGAGAAAGCTTCACTGAGCAGGTGGCATCTGAATTGGAAAGAACTTCCAGGGAGGGGAACCTCTGTGAACAGAGGACCAGGGGCAGGAGAACAATGAGGAACACTCTTGGGGCTTGCCTGGCGCCTGGACATGAGAGAGCCAGAGAAGAGGAGAGAAAGTGGCCAAGGGACATGGCTGGGGCCAGATGGCCGAACGCTTGGGCTAAGGAGTTGGAGCGCCACTGGGGATTATTGACCCACCATGTGTGTGGGGTGTGGGGGTGTGGAGGCTGATGTCAGGCCTCCCTGTCATTTTGGTTTCCCCTAAACACTAGTCCCTGTGCTCATTCCTGAGGTGGGGGTGATTCTGGGCTGCTAAGGAGTTTATTCCTTGGATCTCCTTTTCCGTGGGTTTTAAACAAATCCCGCGTTCCATCCCCTCCAGCGTGGCCAAGTTTCCCCTGGCCCCCAGGTTCCTAACAGGGCTCCTTTGGAGAGGGGGTGGGCTATTTCCTTTTGTCCTGGCTGAGTGTCCCCTGATGGTCCCCAGCTCCCCACCCAGGGCTCTAACTCTTTGGTGGGGAGTCAGTGCAGTTCTTAAAGGCCTCAACTGGACCCCCCAGCCCAGGCTTGGGATGAAGGTTCTGAGAAGGCTTTTTATATCTCCTGTCTTCAGTTGTCCTCATACCACGCAGCAACAGGCACAGAGAGGTGAAGGAGATTGCCCAGGGTCACACAACAAGATGGGGTCAGAGCAGGCACAAGCCTCTGGTATGTTTAGAGGGTCACCAGGCAGACAGGTTGGGGGAGAGGAGGCCCAACCCAATGTTCCCTGTCTGCCGATGTGGCGGCTTGAGAGTGTTCCTCCACATTCCAGCCGAGGGGCTGAGCTTAAAGCCATGGCTGAGGGTTGGGAATCATCTTTACTTAAGTGGCTGAGTTGAGGACAGGGTCCACTGCCTGGGTTTGAACGCCAGATGTACCACGCCAGGTATACCACTGGCTTGCTGTGTGACCTCGGGTCAACTCTTCCCCCTCTGTGCACCTCCTTTCCTACCAAGTGGGGCAGATTTGCTTCCTTGGCAGGATATCATGAGGGTATAATCTAGGATACAATGTAGAAATGCTTAAGAACTTGAGGGAAGGTATTACTCTTTGAAGATGGGAGGCCAGCCACATGCCCCCTGCACCTGTCCGCTTGGGCTCGCTCCGGCTTCCCAGAGCCCGGCAGTACCCTTCCCTCTGTGGGTCAGCATCTACGCTGGTACCTGAGTCACTCAGCTTTCCTGACATTGCGAAGATTTTTGGTAAGCAGTTGTGTCGTTAATTTTTGTTAACGACGAAGTAGATTGTTTCCTAGACAGAATTGGAAAGACCAGGCCCCATTGGGGAGCAGCAAGATTTGAGTAGTCAGAGGACTGCCTCCAAGGTGGGTTCAGCAGAAAGTTTCAAGCATTGGCCACGACATAACCCGTTTGGCTAAAGTCCACACTTTGATGTCTACTGTGAGGGAGGAGCCTTTGGCAAAGATTTACGACTTTTTGTATTTCCACTCCATTTTTTTCTTTTTCGTCAGCTAGGTAAGCACCCCAGCCACAGTCAGAGTGCTGCGTTCATTCGTTCATTCAGCAAACAGGCCTGCCTGGCACGGTACCAGGTGTCAGGGCTGCCATCCGCGTGAGCGATAGATCTCTCTTTCCACAGTCTGGCGGACCGGCGGATAAGGAGCAGGAAATTAGCAGTGCAATTGCGGTTGCCAAGGAGACATGCGGGGTGCTGGAGAACAGATAGGGGAACCTCACCTGGAGATCAGACAAGGCTCCCTGAGGACATGGCATTAAAGCTGTGGTCTCAAGAAGGCATGGTCTAAAGGATGAATGAGTTCCAGGCGGAGGGAGCAGTAGGTGAGAGTTGGGACCAAACATGGTGCTTTCAGGAATTATGGTGTCTGGGGGCTGAGAAGATGATGCATGGGCGGTAGCCCGGGCAGGTGCATGCAGGGAGGGGCTTGTTAAAGATTTGGGGCCTCGATCCTAAGGACAGTGGGGAGCCACTCTGGAGTTTAGAGTACGGGGAGTGATGTGGTCAGAGTTGTGTTTTGAGACGGTCAGCAGGCTGCTTCAGGGTAGGAGGGGTGAGGCCGGAAGCTGGAAAACCAGTTAGGAAGCAGGTGGAGTAGTCCTAGGAGGGCCACTGGTGGTCTAGATACTAGTTACTGTCCCCTCTACCTCACCCCATACCCCCAACATGTTGCCCAGAATAGGCAGTGAAGAGAGGGGAGGCTGTGGCCCCGGAGGTCGCACAAAGCCCCTTTCCCTGTGGACATTGACCATCCTCCCCACGTCCTTTCATACAAACAACCAGTGGGGCTCCTGGCCTCAAGGAACTTTGGTCTAATGAGAAGGACGAAATTTCCAAACAGCTCTAAACCCGGGTAGAAGATGATAGTGCCAATCTGGGGACACAGTTCCAGAGTCACCCTGGCCATGAGTATGTATCAGGGAAGGCTTCCCAGAAGAGGTGGTGTTTGTGCTTCCTATGGCAACAGTTAGTGGGATGGTATGTTTCCTAGGTGCCACGTTTTAGAGAAATGAAAGTAAGGAGATACTCTTCTGTCTTTAAGGAATTATAGTCTGGGGGTGGGGGTGAAGTTTAATGAATGACCAACGCTGATATAACTCCACAGTCAGTGAGTGGCACTGGGGGTCTAGGGCCTCGGAGTTCTGCCCTTTCCCCA